GGTTCAGGGCTTCTCTTAGCGCAGCGGCCCACAGTCCAGGCAATGCTGCCCCCCCTTCGGCAAGCTTGATTGGGGGGGCGGTGAGCCGACCCGAGCAAGCTTGGCGAAGGGGGCAGGAGGTGCAACATCTTCCCACCCCCGGCCGCATGGCCGGCGACCTCCCAAACTAAAGCCTTTTAAGGTTTAGGGCCGTTGGCCCCTAAATTCCCAAATCGGCCCCAAGCGCTCCCAGGCGCTCCCTGGCGCTCCCAGGCGCTCCCAGGCGCTCCCGAGAGCGCTCCCGGGCGCTCCCCGGCGCTCCGAAGCGCTCCCAGGCGTTCCCAAGCGCTCCCAGGCGCTCCCAAGTGTCCCAGGAGCAGCAAGGCGCTCCCAGGCGCTCTTGGCACGCTCCCAAGCGCTCCCAGGCGCTCCCAGGCGCTCCCAGGTTCTCCCAGGCGCTCCCAGGCGCCCCCAGGCGCTCCCAGGCGCTCGCGGCACGCTCCCAGGCGCTCCCAGGCGCTCCCTGGCGCTCGCAGACGCTCCCAGGCGCTCCCAGGTGCATCCATAAACCCCGTAGAGCGCCCCACACCTGTTTTTACGCGTCGGAGGGGTAGGAACCCCATCAGAGGACGCAAAGTCCCCGGGTTTAGGGTGTTATATTCTTTGAAGATCAAGGGAGCGTTTATCGTTGAATCGCGATTCCCCGAAGGGGGACAGCCTGCGGCTGCATGGGCATACCAGTCTGGCAACCAGCTGACGCATCTCAGAGATGCCCTGTCTCTCGTAGACGGCGACGGCGATGCGCAGTGGGTGGGCAGAAGCACAACGAGGTGCTTGGGAATTTAGGGTTAGGGTTTAGGGTTAGGGTTAGGGTTTAGGGTTAGGGTTTAGGGATTAGGGTTTAGGGTTTAGGGCGTAGGGTCTAACAGGGCAAGGCCAGGAATACCTACCTGCATAGGCACTCACCTGCGGTGGCTATCAATCCCCCCCGCATCTCCACCCCCGCATAAAGATCATCTCTCCTCTCATGGTATACCGTGGTTGTAGCATAGCATAGCATAGCATAGCAAGCGCTTAGCAAAGAGGCGAGGTCACCAAAATTTGAGGAACCTGATGTTATAGCGTGGCTGTAGCATAGCATAGCGTAGCGAAGCAGAGGTAGCAAAGAGGCGAGGTCCCCAAAATTCGGAGAACCTTTTGTTACAGCGTGGCTGGAGCACAGCATAGCATAGCATAGCTAAACAAATAGGCGCTGCGAGGCGCGCGCGGCTGCCGCGCGCATGTGCACTCTGTCGTACTTTTGTGCAATGGATTATTGAAATGGGCACATCTTACAAGAGCACAATGTTGACTTTATATTGTTTTTTACAATGGAAAATACACATCAGAAACGAAGAATGATCATGATATAATAGCTTTCCAATGGATTATTGGCATGGACACATCTTGCAAGAGCAAAGTGTTGAGTTTATATTGTTTGTTTGCAATGGAAGGTGGACCTCAGAAGTGCGCGGTTGCAAGGATATAATGTTTTTTCCATAGGGAAAGTGGACCTCAGAAGTTCACCAACCGTCAGGAGGCACGGGGTGGTAGAGTTCAGGGTTTAATAATAATAAGGAATCGAGGTTTAGGGTTTAGGGTTTAGGTCTAGGGTTTAGGGTTTTGGGTTTAGGGTCCACTAGCCCAAACTTGCAGCCCACTTGACCGTGTCCCACCCACCCATGACCCAAGACATATTGATCTCGATGCGGTATCAACACGCGACTCGCAAAACGACGACGAGGACAACACCGATGACGACGACGTTGATATTGTTTTCAAAACGACGACGACGCGGCCGCGCAAAGACACCTGGGACGCGGCTGCAACGGCGATGCGGCCCGCGCGCGTGACGACGCGATTTGAAGAACCACGTTTTTTGACGCGAGCCCCTGTGCGACGCAGGGGCGCCGCCCAGCGGCGGAGAGGTTGCACGCAAGATCCACGCTTATTGACGCGAGCCCCTGTGCGACGCAGGGACGCCGCCCAGCGGCGGCGAAGTTGCACGCAGTGGTTGCCCAAGGCGCGCGGGATGACTCGTCGCCCCGAAGAGAGGGATCCCCCTGTGCATCCTCGAAGCTGCGCCGCGGCGCGCAAAGGCCGATGCAAGGGCGCGGCGACGCGCGCGCGCGCGCGAAGCGACATCACAGGCTCCCCGCAGCAACTTGGCGACGCCTTGGCGATGCATTGAACAGCTTGACACGAGGCGCTCGGGGCGAGTCGTTGCTTGGCGAGAGTCACCCCATGTTTGTTTCCTTGGCCCCGCGACGCGACGCGCGAAGGCCGATGCATTGGCGATGCGACGCGCGCGCGCGAAGCGACACAACGGGAAGGCCTCCCCCACACTGAACCGAACCTGGCCGTTGCTTCGGCGATGCATAGCACAGCCTGCCGCGAGGCGCGCGGGATAGTTCGTTGCTTCCACGCGAGGGCCTCTTTGCGACTGACAAGCGCGCGACGGCCGATGCAACGGCGATGCGAC